ACTTGTAAAATTTTTACAAGTATTTTTTGAATTGAAATCTCAATTCTTAAAATCATACGGGATGCTAGATTTGCATCTCACATATGGAAAACCCCGGATACCCCCCTAACTAATTTTAAAATATTGCGAAAAAAACTCCTCGGCCATACTCCCGTATGATTTTAAGAATTGAGATTTCAATTCAAAAAATACTTGTAAAGATTTTAAAAGTAAAATTCGTTACATTTATATATATATATATTTGTACACGCATAGTTTCCGCACAAACATCCTGCGAATGGCTCGTATCGGCCTTATTTGATTCCTGTTAACGATTCTGGTCGGTAATTAACGGCATGGACGATGAACATGCAGAATACCGATGTTCGGCATTTAAGAAGGTAATAAAAACCAAAGTTGTTGAGTGCAGGTCTTGTGTCAAACTTTTTTACCACCCGGGATGTGTATGTAAACATAGAGTTTATGATAGAAACCGAGAATTGGTGCAATGTGCTGGTCCGTTTGAAGAGTTTTTCGTTGAAAACGGCCAAGAAGCAGGTATGAAGAAAGCTCCGACGACGACGGGGAGCAGCAGGGATAGGACAGGTTCTACAGGGTTTATAGGTTCTGCGGGATCATTCACGGCACCGAGTAGTGGAAATAAATCATCAGGAATGAGTGGACCGACTGGCATTGATATAAAAATAGATTATCTTATAAGAACTATGAAAGAAATCAAAGATGAAACAACGTGTAAGAAAGAAATCAAAATGATGATTAAAGACATAGTTCGAGAAGAATTGGGAAACGTTAAACACGAACTGAAAAATCTAAGAAGAATAATACAGGGAGTAGTGCGCGAACCAGCGTCAGATATATATTCCGTCAGGAACGCAAAGAAGCTACAGTAAAGCAGTTAAAGAAATGAAGAGAGAAAATATTATAATTGTGAAGCCAAAATTGGAACAGGAGAGTGAAACCACAAAAAAGCTACTAAAAGAAAAAGTGGATATTAAGAACATGGCGATGGGAGTAACGAAATTAAGAAAAAGAAGCAAGGGAACTGTAATAATGGAATGTGAAACTGGAGAGGAAGTAAAAAAATTGAAGAAAACAGTTCAAGCTAAACTAGGAGAAAATTATAAAGTAGTGGAATCACCGCAATCAAAGCCGAAATTAAAAGTTATTAATGTAGGGATAAAAGAGATAAATTTGAATGATGATGAACTTATATCTACGATAAAAAGGCAGAATAAAATGAGTACAATGAATATGCGAATAGTGAAGAAAATAATTAAAGAAAAGAAAAATAATAACAACCAGTCTAAAAAACGAGAAAGTGAAGAGGGATCAATAATATTAGAAACAGATGATGAAACACACGAGTTGATTTTGAAGAAAAGCAAATTAAATATAGGATGAAAGAAATGTCCTGTATTTAATCATGTTAGTGTTAAAAGATGTTTTAAATGCTGGGGTTATTATCACATAGCTAAAAACTGTGTCAGAAACAAGACATGTCACAAATGTGCAGGAAATCACAACTCGAATGACTGCTTAGCGACAAAGAAGAAGTGTGTAAATTGTATGTTCAAAATTCAAACATACAACCTGAAAATAAATGACGAGCACGACGCTCTCAGTATGGAGTGTCCAACATTTAAGAGAGCATTGCAAGAAGAGAAGAGGAGAGCTGGCTGGAAGGACACTAAATAGCAACTACAGGAAGATGTGGAGCTAATGCTATATACAAATGCACAAAGTTTAACGGCGCATAAAGATGAGATACAGCATCAGATTTTGAAGAAAATAAATCTTGCATTCTTAGCACTGTCAGAAACTAGATTGACTGATGAGATTGATGATAGTGAAGTGAGCGTTCAGGGTTATAGTATAGTTAGGTGTAACACTGAGAACAGAAATACAGGAGGGATTGTTTTGTATATAAGAGATGATGTTAAATATGAAATAATATTAGCAAAAACCTTAAAATTGAACTGTTGTAGCGGTAGAAGTAAAAGAAAAATTGTGTAAAGAAGTAATTATGGTAGTATGTCATTCACCAAGCGCGTCGCATGGTGACGTAATGAGATTTCTGGAAGATATAGTAGAGGAGTTAACAATAAAAGAAAAATGTATAGTAATTAGTGACTTTAATATAGATTTTATGATATATTCCTTTTATGCGAAGAAGCTGCAAACGATAATGCTAAGCTTAGGTATGAAACAATACGTTAATAAACCGACAAAAATCACGAAAGACAGTCAGATAATCATTGATTTAATCTTCGCTAACAATGATAGTTTAGAAGTACAGGTAGTTTACGAACCTAAAATTACGGATCACGCATGGCTTCAAGTTAAATTTGGTGCTAAAAGAAGTAAAAATAACTATAGAGAATTTAGCGCTAGAAGATTTAAGAACTTTGATGTAAGTGAATTTACCAGATTAGTAGAAAATAAATTGCATAAAAGACAAGATATGAATGTCAGTATGAGAGCGACAAAGCTTGTTGACAGTATAGTAGAAGCGTTAGATATAGTGGCGCCGATAAGAAAGTTTAGAATTCTAAAGGTGTGGGAAGGGAAAAAGTGGTTCTCAGATGAAATAAGAGAAGCAGCTGATAGAAGAGATAAAGCATACAAGAAAGCGGTTTATGAAACTAGTGAGCAAAATTGGTTGCAATATAAAACTGAAAGGAATACAGTTTTAAAATTAATTAGAGATAAAAAAAGAGAGTATTATGAAAATATGATAGATCTCAACAAAGAAAATTTTACGACTATGTGGAAAACCTTGAAAGAAATAATTAAAGGTGAGCCAGTAAGAACAAAGATAGTAGAAAGTATAGATTTTGAAATCTTAGATAATATTGATGAGCCGAATGTAGCCGATAAATTTAATTTATACTACATAAAAAGTATTAATAATATAGTACAATCTGTAAATGTAGGTAAGTCTAGCGGTATTAATAAAATAATTATTTATGTTATCGAGAACAAAGGAATTATGGAAAATTTCGAGATGATAGAGCTAGACGAGTTAGAAAAAATTATTATGAGATTACCAAAAACGAAAGGTACGGATGAGGGGATAACTAGTGATGTATTAAAAGCAGCTTTTTGCGTAATAAAAGAGGAGTTTGCAGATATTATACACAGTTCTTTGAGAGTTGATTTCTGTCCGGAAGGATGGAAAACTTCGACGATAGTGCCGATACCAAAAATAAATAAAGCGAAAAAAGCAAGTGAATACAGACCTATTAATATATTACCAGTATTTGAGAAAGTGTTAGAATTAGTAGTAAAAGAACAGCTTAAAATGTATCTAGAAAGTAANGCTATTATTACAGAGCATCAGTCGGAGTTCAGAAAACAGTATTCGTGCGAGACAGCGATTCAAACTGTCATTGACGAATGGAAACTAGTAGTAAGTGAGAGACAAATGGTGGGAGTAATTTTCATGGACCTTAAAAGAGCGTTCAAGACAATAGATAGAGAAAGATTATTAGGGAAATTGTATCAGTATGGAATTAGAGAAGTGGTCTTAGAGTGGCTTAAATCGTATCTAAGCAATAGAAAACAGCAAGTGCAATTTAATCATAAGTGGTCTAGATTACTAACAACAGAATATGGAATACCACAGAGATCAGTACTGGGACCTTTGTTATTTGTAGTATATATAAATGATATAATCAAAATCTGTCCAAAAGGATGCAGTATAAAAATGTTTGCTGATGACACCTTAATATACGTAAGTGGAGAAAGTAGCACGGATTTAGAAAGTAAAATGAATACAGCATTTAATGTAGTCGAGCAGTGGATGAATATAAACAAGCTAAAAATGAATGCGGAAAAAACGAAATTTATGATAGTCAGAAGTATACGAAAAGAATTGAGAAGTATTATTACACTGAAATGCCTGGACGGTATTGAGATAGAGCGTGTAGAAACAATGAAGTATCTAGGTATAATTATTGATGAAAAAAATTATTGATCAAATTAAGATTTAAAGCTCATTGTGAATATATGCTAAAGAAAATAGGTAAAAAACGAGTTTCTTAAATAGAAAAGGCAACTTTATATCAGCGTACACTAGATGTATTATATACAAGACAATCATAGCGCCGCACTTTGAGTATTGCGCGACGCTATTACTAAATATGGGTGAAACGCAGCTAAGTCAGTTGCAGGTGGCACAAAATCGGGCTATGAAAGTAATATTACAGTGTGATAGGTATACCAAAGTAGAATGTATGCGAGATGCACTGCAATTTATGTCTATACAACAACGGTTATATTATAATGTTTGTATATTTATTGTTAAGATCTTAAGAAACTTGTTACCATTAAGAGATAGGATAGGATAGGTTAGAAATAATAGAAAGTAAAAGAGAAAAGAGGCAAATTGGAGACATTAAAATAAAACTTAGAAAAACAAAGAGCGTATAAAAAAGTATGTTTTATGAAGGGATAAAAATGTACAACGCCTTACCAGCGGAAATAAAAAGTAAAGAAAAACTCGAATCGTTTAAAAGAATGGTAAAAACATATGTTATAGCAAATGTTTGTTAAAACTGTTTTTTAAAATAGCTGAGAAAGCTAAATAAAGATCAATCAATCAATCAATCAATCAATCTCTCTCTTTCTCTCTCTCTCTCTCTCTCTCTCTCTCTCCCTCTCTCCCTCCCTTTCCCCCCTCTCCCTCTCTCACCCCACCCCTCTCTCTCTCTCATCAAATACTACAATTCTTTTCTTTTTCTTTCGTTCAGCGCGCTGATATCGCCATGTTTTAGAAGCACTACAAACATGCACACATTCCTAAATATCTAACGATGACCACGTTTCTTAATGTGAATTCAACAGTGTTTTGGATTATCTTCAAATATCTCCATTCAGAAGCCACAGACCAAAAAAACGCAAGAATACTTTTTTCTTCAGTTTTTCAACGCGAATCAAACGAGAAAAAAAATCAATCGGTTTATTCGGTATTAAAACATTGTTGATTAAATATCTCCCTTCTACTGAAATGTCTGATTTTCGCGTATAATAGGCAAGGTGTGCTCATGCAGTTCGAGCGCCACTTCGTTGCGCGTAAACTTGGCGCAAGACACTACCGTGCTTAATATCAGATTATTTGTGATATATGTATAAATATTGCGAGACAAACTCCAAGTGTCTCGATGACCGAATAGGAAAGGCGACGGCACGGAAAGCCGGAGATTCCAGGATTGACTTCTGGCCGAAAAGTTTTTTTTGCAATATTTTAAAAGTAGGTAGAAGAGTATACGGGGTCTCTCATATAAAATGCAAAAATAGCATCCTATATGAATGTAAGAATTGAAATCTCAATTTAAAAACTCACGTATAAGATTTACACGTGTACACGTATGTATATATATATACATATTTTCGCACAACGTCCAGCGAACGGCTCACATGACTGTTTATACATTCCTTAGTTTAAATATCTAAAAGTTTCATAAAATCGTATATAGAATCGTGCAAATCTGTACACATAACTGTATATGAATGTAAAATCATGTGTAGGTACGTATGGGAGTAAATGTAAAAAATCGTGTGTATATTTATTAATTATTATCAGTTTAAAACAACTTGATCAATAACAATTTGATTATAGCTGAGAGATGTGCGATTGTCGCTTTTTATTTGTTACGTACGACATGTGATTATTTCACGGTTTTATTTTTTCATTGTACAAAACTTTCACATTTACAAATTGTTAGTAAATAGCAATAAAGAGGCCAATACAAGCAAAAAACTAGATGTTTGTATTTGACAAAGTTTATTTAAAATCTACGTCAAAGTTTTTGATTCAATTTTCGGATCTTTTTCAGTGACAATCTAAATATGTAATTATAAATAAATATATAAAATTTAATTGACCTTACGCAAAGTTACCATAACTTTGACACTTTATTAGATGTATTTAATAAATAAATAAACAATAAATATATATATAGACATAAGCACATTCACGCACAACATCCTGTGAACGGCTCTTAACGTCTTTATATTCAGATATTATTAGTTTAATAAGACTTATAGAACCTGAGAGTAATCTCAATTTATCACTAATTGTTTAAATAAATAAACTAATTATAAAAGTAGGTTTTAAAATTTATCATTAAGACATATAATAACTGTAAATTTTTTAGATGTATATAAAACTGATTATTAACAACAATAAAGAATTTATATGTATTATATGAAATCTGTCTCTGAAATGAGTCACATAAAATTACAAAATAAGTCAATTATATCATGTCGAATACAAAGAAGTTAAAGGTTTGCTTTGGAAAACTTTAGAAATCAAAATAACCGGGGTCATGTCGTTTTCTTGTTTTTTGACCTCAGGGTGCTTGTGTCTACGTATATTGTGTGTGGAGAAATCCACACATATATGTATATATAAAACGCGTGTAAAAGTTGTGTCTCACTTTGCTTACGTTGTGTTTAGTTTATCAGTTTTAATCTCTGAGGCAAGTTTTCCCTTGACAAACATAATTTTTTAAAACTACAAAACAGTACAGATTGGGCTCTGATTGCATTCTGTCTTCAAGGTATGTTTGAACTCAACTTATTGCAATTTATTTTTATTATAGTAACATTATTTTATTTTTAATATTATTCTTTTAACATTATTTTTTGTATTACATGTTATTTATGTATACATTTTTTATTGCAAGTGTGTAATTTTCTTAAAAATAAATATGTTTAGTTACTTTTTATATAAAAAAGTAAAATTAAATAACTGTGTTAAATATAAATAAAAATATAAAAAATATAGAAAACTTATAAAACTGTATGTATATATACATATATGTAAATATACACACACACATAACCTCAATTCTACCCTAAATATACATATATACAGGGTGTCTCAGAATTGGTGTAACATCTCTCGTAGACAGGAGTAAAACTAACAAGGGGTGGGCACAAATTGCGAAATACGAAATTGAATGAGCAATAGTTCATTCGAAAGGGGAGGTCGAGGGTATAAAAAGTGTAAGAGGATTTGAGTGCATGGGCCTTAGTTTACGAGAATTTTGCATGCAAAGTTAAGCGTGCCAGCTGTACGTTAAGTAACATAAATAAGTTAGACTCAACGTGAAGTGTGGCTGCGGTCTAAGGCAAAATTTTTGAATTCGTTTAATGATAAGTTTGACTTTGTGTGAAAAAATAGACATCGCAAGGTTGGCAAATCGGAGTGCACTTTGGAGATATAAATTGCAAGTTACATGTCGGCTTATTTTCATCATTTATAAAATTAGCGTTATACATATTTATATTTTGTTTGACCTCTCCAGGAATCAACAATTAACAAAAATGAATTGTTGCCCACGTACGGTTGATGCAATCCATTTATGTTTTCAATATTTTTATATTAATTTTCATCCACAACAGTGTATAGCAATGTCCAAAATTTATAAAAAATAAAAACACGATGAATAAACATAAAGAAGTACAGAAATTCCCGTTCTTGGTTTTATTATATATAATTAATTAATTGCGTCGTTATTATTATTTTATTCCAAAAAATAAGAACAATTAATTCAGTTGATAGATATAGTCGTTATAATGAAAAAAAAGTTGGCACGCGAGGTTTCGAACTCGCAATAGACGCCAAAAATTACAGAGCGCCTTAGGCCGCAGCCACGACGCTTCACACTGAGTCTAACTTATTTATGTTACTTAACGTACAGCTGGCCGCACGCTTAACTTTGCATGCAAAATTCTCGTAAACTAAGGCCCATGCACTCAAACCCTCTTACACTTTTTATACCTTCGACCTCCCCTTTCAAATGAACTATGGCTCATTCAATTTCGTATTTTGCAATTCGTGCCCATCCCTTGTAAGTCGATAAGTCCTATACCATTTTGCTACATTCGCACTAGTTACCGTAATTAACAAAGATCCGCGAATAAGCGTACGTCGAGCTGTCTTACGCGCGTAGGACAGCCCGGCGCGCTTCGCACGATAACATTTTGATATGTACATGTTATAGTATATGCTATTATATTAGCTCCTCCCATATGTTGCTACGGGTACCACCGTACACAGAGAAAACGATTTCTTTAAATTTAATACTCCAATTTGTTTGACTCTTATTTGTTGCATTCAAACAACATAATTTTATACCAAACAACAATTTTGTTGAATGAAAATTATATTGTTACGTTAAAATAAATCAACTTATTTGACGAAAACAATACAAATGTTTGAAATAATTTATTCCAACAAAATAATATTTTCTTTGGTTTTAATAAGCAGTATTTAATGAACAAAATCATTTTGTAACATAAAATATACTTGATTTAAATATAGCATTGTTTGTGACAAAAAATTTCGTGTTGTAAAAATGTACTTTAAATTATAAGAATAATAAATAATAATAATAAGAGAAATATTTTTATCCATTGTTGCAGATACATTGCGCTGCAATATTTTTAATAAAATAATAATTTAAAGAAATAATAAATGAAATGCGTATAGGATAGCTTGAGAATAAGTACATAAAAATAATCACATTTTAGTAAGGAACAAGTAGTCTTGCAAACTGACAATGAGTGCAGGGGCTGCGAATACGACGGAGGCGTCTCGAGTTCGAAATCCCGCTATCACCTTAGGATTTTTTCAGATCCAGTCTCTTTCAATGGAGTTCATCGGTTGATTGACAAGCTGAATCGGGCCACCAAAGATTACTTCAAGTAAAAAAAATCTCGAAGTTGTGTAAGAGCGCAAGTCGCGAGTTTTTTTTATTGAAGTTTTAGATTTATTTAATTTAACAAAATACTTTGTTTGAAATTCAAACAATCGGAATGTTTAGTTCAAAATCAAAATTGTTTGGACTATTCCAATGAAATAATTTGTTTGGATTTAATAAAATTTGTTAAATCTACAGAAACCAATACTATATGAATATAGGGACATGAAGAGCCG